AAAATGGAAGCCGTATGCTTTACTTTCAGGCATTTTTATATTGAAAATTCTATTTTTACTTGCCTAATATAAGCTATAATAGCTCTCAGACAAAGAAAAAAAAAAGTACAAAACTGGGGCAGTACACTTTCAAAAGTTACTAATATGTACCATTGGGGAGTAAATAAAGTACCCCAATTTACCTTCCATTGCATTGATGGCTTTGCACCTTTTTCTGATTTACCTGATTGTTATTGCAATGTCACAAATCACAAACACATGACAAACCCTGATGTCATATGTTCGACAGAAAATTGCCTGTTTTTTTTTTTTTTAAGCAGAAAATGTTGGGAATTGTGGGCTGAAAGAAAACAGTCACATTCTGTACGTCTGATCACCGTGACAATCTGTAAAACTATGATACCCATCATGCTTGCTCATACTACAACAACTCTTACAATGCTTGTGCACCTTATTTATACCCTTACTTTTCCCAACATGGAGAAGAGAGAGACGTTTTCAGTTGTATTTATCAGTAACTAAGTTGTATAAAATATAAATAAAACATGCATTACTTATTAAAAATATGCATTAAGTGAGATATTATGGTGCAAATTAACTTTGCTATTTGAAAAAAAAGGGGAAAAAAGAAAACTCCATAATGTGCATTACTTGTATCTAGGGCTGTCATTCATACATACATACATAAATCAATCATGCATTTGATCAAAATGAATCATACCCTCTTAAGTAAATAGCATAAGGAACTGCATAAGAGTTTTAGGTCACACTTTATTTTAAGGTCCAATTCTCGCCATTAACAAACCATTAACTATGACTTTTGCCTCAATAAACACCTAATTTGCTGCGTATTAATAGTTAGTAAGGTAGTTGTTAAGCTTAGGTATTGGGATTAGGGATATGTAGAATATTGGGATATAGTAGAATATGATCATGCAGAATACGTGCTTTATATGTCCTAATAAACAGCCAATATGTTAGGCATGGTAATAAGTGACTAGTTAATAGTCAGAATTGGTCTCTATAGAGAAATTCAAGTTCCACTAACATGTTTTTTCAAGTCAAAGGAGCAAGTCTAAACATTTTCAAAGTTATTAAGAACTAGTTTTAATCAGTCACAGCATCTTAAAATGTGACACTCATAGCGTGAGACAAGATGAAACAACCAAAAACGCATCTGTACATAGTCAAACCATTTAAAGAAATGTCAGACTCAATGTGAAGTCGATCTTGGGCAAACTCCAAAAAAATGAATTACTGTGAACTAGTGATGAGCTTACATACACTCTCAGAAAAAAAGGTACAAAAGCTGTCACTGGGGCGGTACCTTTTCAAAAGGCACACCTTTGTACCTAAACAGTCCATATTGGTACCTTAAAGGTACATACAAGTACCTAAAGTGTACATATTAGTACCTAAAAGGTACAAAAGTGTACCTTTTGAAAAGGTACCGCCCCAGTGACAGCTTTTGTACCTTTTTTTCTGAGAGTGACTTATAACGAAATAAAACGTTATTTTGATATATAAAGCCTCTTTTTGTAATTATTATAATTTTTTTAATGTTCTTTGAATTATATTCATTTGGGGGCTTAATTGTCTTAAGTAATGATATGCTATTAATTTTAATTTAATTAATCAGCAATTCGTGTAATTGATCTGATTAACATTCTTAATCGGTTGACTGCCCTACATGCAACATGTTAACTTCAACAGTGAACCTTGGTTAATGTGGAATGGAACTTGTTCATCTCGACCCCATCCGTCATTCCCATAAAGCTCTGCATTGTCTGTGCACGTCGTGTGTTTGGTGAGGCCTCTAGGTTGAAGCTTTAACCTCTACAGATGAAGATAAGGCACAGTCTCTGACACCTGCCAAAAGGATCACAGTTAGTCCCTTCCACTCCTCCATAAAATAACCCAAAGGTGAATAGGTGAGCTTTGATGTATCGCTTAATATTTACTAACCCGATTTGGTAGATTCGCAGCGTCCTTCGAGACTTAACATATATGGCGGATCAAAACATTGCAATCAGATTTATCCCAAACACCTGCGACTGCAAGGTCACAGAACTCATTTTGTGAGTGGCATGGCTACTTGCTTATTAGTGCTGGCCGTGTCTGCTAAACAAATCTATTTGTGAGATTGTATAGTATTGCTAAAGGGCATTTCTGAATTAAATGTAATCAGCTTTACTAGGCTGTGTTCATTTATTAGTAATGTGCTTAAAGCAGATTAGTGGGCTCAGCCGTTTTTAATGATTTATTTTGCTGCTGAGATCTGACAGATTTTCTGCTATTCTTGAAAAAAAAAGGACATTTCCCAATTAAAATACATGCCTTCCATGGTTTAATCTATTGTTCAATACGACGTAATGGGAATTATGGTTTCCATTAATTGAAATGGATTCCTCTAATAAAGACTTGCTAGGAATTTTTAATCATATTTAAGGAATAACTGTGCCATTTTCGCCATGTGTAATCTGTATATTCAATCAAATACACGTCCATATGGATTTACATTTATCCACATATGAGTGAACAACAGCCTAATTGTTACATGTGTGTTAGCCAGCCCTTGGCCATGAGTTTGGGTCACGTGACTCACCGCCCATCCGTTTGCTTTCTCTCTAGTGTGGTATGTGTTGGGGGAGATGGCTCTGTAGCTGAGGTGGCCCACGGGTTGCTTCTCCGGGCCCAGATGGACGCTGGGAGGGACACAGATTCTATCTTCACGCCTGTCCAAGCAGCACTTCCTCTCGGCATAATACCAGCAGGTGAGGATCAGGGGTGGTGTATCTCTTTCTCCTGCAGCTGTCCCCAGTACAGCCCAAAACGTCCAGCTCTTCTCAGGAGAGCGCATGCGAATCAGCGCTCGGTCCTCGCTGAGTCAACATGAATTCAAAATTGACCCAATTTGCTTTTATTACACACGTTTCTGATCTTACTGTGCATGATTCATCATATGTAAACACGTTACATATACAGTACATGTTATTCTGAACGTAAGAAAAAAAGTGTTAGTTTTGCATATTTATAGCAATATATCTCTGGCTTTTTCCAGATGATGTCACAAAACCAAATCTTTAACCCCTCCCCCTCAAACCACCTGGCTCCATTCTAGTATGTAACACCCACTTTCCAAAACACAAATTGCCAATTGTTATTCTTGTTGAATATCATGTTTCAGAAGTACATTAGAGTATGGAAGTAAATACCAATTTTACTTGCATAATCAGTAAAAAGTATTTTTTATATAAATTAAGTTTAATATTAAAAACATAATAAAAAAATAATAATCATAATATAAATTATATATAATAGTTTCTGGTACAGTTGTCTGTGTGCGTGTATATGTATGTATACACACACATACACACGCACGCACGCACGCGCACACACACCAATTATACTTGAATAATCTGTATATTACATATTTCTAATAACACATGTCATTTTCACCAAATAAATGAATACACAAATGTAAAAAATTAAATACAATAATAATAATAATTATTATAATTATTATTATTATTATATATAAACACATTAATTATATCTTATGTTTTATATTATACAGTATTATTAATCTGAAGCCAACTTTACCTGAATAATGTGTACATTACATATTTTTAATGACAAATATTTCATTTTTACCAAATAAATAAATACATAAATGTAAAAAATAACTAAATAATAATAATAATAATAGTTTCTTGTCTTATTGTATACTTAGATTAATCAATTATAAATTTTGTAACATTATATTATATTATATTATCAGATCAAAACTAATTGTACTTGAATAATCTGTAAAATTTATTATTTTATTATTAAACTTAAAAAATATATATATTAATGAGAACACTAGCATACATGTTTACATCCTCAAAAAAGACTAAAAGCCACAAACAATTGTGAGGTACTTAAATACCTTCATGATGTATTTAAATGAAGAAACTGAAATAAAACCTATAATTGATAATCACAGCATGTCAAAATATGAGTAAAACATGATAATGTATAGCAACAGCCTTGTGGGTAAACCATGCGACTTTTTATGCTTCATTCCGGCACTGAAACAATCAGAGGCGTGCTGCCAATTAAAAGTCGAACCCTGTAGTAATTTCGGTCTCTAGTTTCTGTGCTGTCAGAATGATTTAGTTTGATTGTGTTCTGAAACTCCTCTAGCGAAAACAAACAGGCAGCTCATAACAGCAGCAAGCGAGTGTATCATTATCAAATTAATTTAATCACAGTCAGGCCTCTGAATGGCCCACTCGAACACTGAGTTAATTGCCTTCAAGAGTGTCTGAAATGAAGCATCCTCCATTTGACTCTCCTTTGCTGCCTTTGAAACGGACTCCACTGGCCTTGGATCAGCGGCCCTATTGTGCACACTCACACAGGACTGACTAAGCTCAGATATTTTCTCTTTTTTTGCGGGAGTGTGGCACAAACCAACCCCAAAGAGCTGCCAAACTGGGCTGGGAAGAGGAGGGGTGAGCAGGGTAGATGGGTACGGTAGCGGCCCCTACTTTTTCGGCCAAGAGATTGACCTTCACTTGTCATTTCAGGCGCAGCAAAATGGAGTGCTGTTGTTAGGAGCAATGGAAGCCCTCCAACTCCGCACCCGCTGCAAACTGACCGTACCGGGGTCACGCTTTCTCTTCATTAGTGCCGAATCCCACGGGAGTATTTATAAACAGTTTCCTGTCACAAATGCAGAGGTGAAAAAAACGACCCCCTGCCTCTGCCGTTTTCCTGCGCGGGTTTAGATGTGTCATTTGGTGTGACATTAGACCCAGGTCAATCCTAAGGGATAGAGGAAATGGAGTCAAATTGACTCTCTTTGTTACAGCTTTGCAAAAACACCCATGCAAACTCTTAAAAATAAAGGTTTCCAAAAGTGGGCTTTCACAGCGATGCCATAGAAGAACCATTATTGGACTTTTTCAGTAATCAGATCCTAAAAGAACCATGATTTTGTTGGTGTGAACACCATTTTAATAATCTACACTCTTAAAGACAAAAGTTCCAAAAGGTTTTTTTTTTTTTTTTTGCAGTAGAAGAACCATTTTTGGTTCCTCAAAGAACCTTCTGGTGAACAGTTCAATTTTTTGTTGTTAGTGTGAAGAACATTTCATAATCTTAAAAACCTTTTTCCACTATAAAGATCCTTTTGTATAACGAAAAGGTTCCATGGATGTTAAAGGTTCTACATGGAACCATCGATGCCAATGAAGAACCTTTATTTCAAGAATTGAACAAACCTTTTGTGCAATCGAAACGTTCAATGAATGTTAAAGGTTCTACTTGGAACTATTGATGCCAATGAAGAACTTTTATTTTTAAGAATGTAACAAACCTTTTGTGCAATGGAAAGGTTTAATGGAGGTTAAAGGTTCTTCATGGAACCATTGATGAAAAGGTACCATGGATGTTGAAGGTTCTACATGGAACCATTGATGCCAATGAAGAAACTTTATTTTTAAGAATGTAAAACTTTTGTACAATGGAAAGGTCCAATGGAGGTTAAAGGTTCTTCATGGAAGGATCTATGCCGATAAAGAACCCGAATCAACTATAGCGATTTACCGCAAGTAATTACCATGTGCACATCAATAAAATATACAAGAAATGGCCCTCCTATGGCAGCCAAGTTGATGTCTAATTATCTTAGCTGGAAAACAGACTAGCTTCTTTAACACTTTAATTTGTTATTTTTATGTCAGTATTCATAACGCAGTCAAGTTGAACAAACATTCAAGTTTTTCTTTTTTGAAAAATTAAACTAATTACAAAGAGCGTTTCAAATACCTTATTTACACAATGCAGGATAAACATGCAAAAATGCGGCGCCCTGCCCAATTAAAGGCTTTCTCACTGCACCATAGTATATACTCCAATTTATATACATATAGCATATAAATTGCAGGCTTCTAATTAATTTTCCTGCTTTTAAGGGTTTCAGGGGGACTGTTAATTTCTTTGATATTCCAGGCAAAGAACCAAAATGTTGGTGCAGTTTCCACGAGACTCTTAGACATGCTTGACTAGCGAGTCATTGCATCACATTCATCTGCCTGGATGAGGGAGACATTAACTGCCTTATGAATATTCATGCTGTCTGCTTAATTAAGTTAATTGTTCTACAGAAGTGCTCGCACTTCCAAGGACAATTTCTCTCTCTCTCTCTCTCGCTTTCTCCCCCACATCTCCCTCTTTCAAAGCCCCCTTCCTTCCTATTCGCCCCCCTACTCTAATATCTGGGCGCTACTACCATTCGTCACCGGGACTTCATGGTAACATGTTTTTCTATTATTTTAACTCAACAACTTCACCTTTTTTTATTATATAAGATTCAGCTCAATTTTTTAAGTCAGTTTAATATAAGTCAAAATTACTTATATAGCTATTGTGATTATACTTAAAAATTTGAGGCAGCAACTGAACTTAAGTTTTTAAGTAGGTGGGAATTTTTTACAGTGTACAGAAAAATATATACAGTAAAATGTGAATTCGATTAAAAATTATAAAAAATCTATTTAATTGTATTAAATTATTTTATTGTTTTTTTTCCCACTCAGTGCGCTATGTCTTTGTTATTGACATTTTCACGGCAATTAAGCACATTTTCCAAAAAAATTAGCATAATGACATTTTGCTTTCATTACCAAACATTTTTTTAAAGCTAGAATTAGGATTAATTAAATTCAGTACAATAAAACTACAATATCATCTACATAACATTTAAATAACTATTTGGGGAGAAAATGATATTAATTGTATTTAAAAAAAACTAAAATCCCCAAAAGTCTAAAATCCTCATCATGACAATACAATAAATGTCATCATTACTGCAATGAGGGGGAAAAAAAGTTTAATTTTCATTCTTACAGACACTGTAATAAAATGAACTTTTTAAAGGCAGCATGAATGAAATAAAAATGTGATTAATTTTTATGAAAACATCACGATACTCAAATAGAATTTGAATGGAATCCACTGAAGGGCCTACTGTGCCCATTATCAATTCGGAGTGTCTATTTACACTAAGTGCAAATAGCCGGCCTTGTTGGCAGAGGCTATTTACACTAAGTCCACCCACCAACGTGTGATTGGGATCAATTACTACTAAACACAAAAACATTAAATGCTCCAAAAGTTTATTAATTTAATATGGGGCAAATATCTATTCTGCAGAAAGCTCAGAGATACTCATTTTCTGAGTGTTTTATTGATTTTGGCAAAAAGTCTTGCCTTATGTTTTGCCTTTTGTTTTAATTTTAATGGGACATATAATAATAAACGTACAAAACGCTTCAGAAAAAAAAAAGTCACGACTCGTGAAACAAGTCGCATACAGGATGTACTCATCTGATTAATCTACTGAGTACTCATGTAAACAAAATGACTAAAAGTACAGCAGCTCACTGTTTTGGAAGTCAGTCAGTCAGACGCTGTTACCTTTACTGAGTCGAGGCTCAGAGCCGGGCTTTTGTGTTGAAATCATCACAACATATGGAAACTCCCAGAGAGGCCAGGAAGCATCATGGATGTGTTTGTGAGGGAGGGCTACATTACCAGTGACCTGGTAGGTGGGAAGAGGCACATGTACTTGCAGCCAAATTCAGTTGGAGTGTGAGTGTGTGTCCAGCACTGTAGGCCTGGCCGTCTCTATCGGCAGAAAGGGAGGGAACGGTTTCATCCAACACCTCCGTCCTGTTCTCATTTACAGACATTTGCTTTCATACCCTGTTGATCTGAGCAAACACACTGGCCAGATAACTGCATGAAAGGAAATGCCTACTCACCCGACAAGGACAAGCCTCTCTCTGCTGTTTGTCTCTGGTAGTAATCAGTACAAATACACACACCTGTTCTCCCTTCGCAAGCTGCCAGCAAGGTGAACCGCCTTAATTGGCACAAGGCGATATTAACTTAAATTAATGCCCTTTAACAAAGTCCTCATCCTGTAATGATTAACTTTACCTCACTCATTAGATGGGCGAAGCTGCTGCTGTTTTTAAATCAATACTGCGTCCCAACTCGCATACTAGTCTAAACAGTGTGCCAGACGAGATTTAGTGTGTCCCAAATCACAGGACATTGACAATAATATTACAAACGTGTCTGATATTTCGGAATGGGTGAATCTTAAGACCGTAAGACTTTTATCTCCTGTTCAGGTTATATTTTACCTTAAAAACAAATATGTGGCACAGTATTCAAATGATCTCGTAGCATCAGCTTGTGTCTAATGAGAAAGCTTTATCTCAAAATCACCTGTCCAGGGAACAGATTTTTTTTTAAATAGACTATTAAAATGTGCTATATTCCAAGCCATATGATAACTCTGTGTGACAAACAGACCAAAATTGGTCATTTTTCACTGATAATTGCACAAAGTCTCATATCACATTCAGTAGACTTGGAATGTAGTGCATTTTCAGAAACAACATTGTGAAATTGAAAAATCAAGTCTTGTGTACAATATTATGATTATAATCAGGGTTTGAAATTAACTTTTTCACTCACCAGCCAATTTGGCTACTAAATTTTTAAGTTACCGGCCATTCATATACCCGCATTTGGCGGGTTGGCGGGTGTTAATTTCAAACCCTGATTATAATGGATAAAATATTTTCATTTTAATATACACTGTAATACAATTCTTGACTGTTTGGACACAAAGACAGCATACATTACATTAATAAAACATCTGTCGTATTTATATACTGAATTCAGAATTGAAGGAAAAATATCTTCAAAAATAGTTGCATTTTTAGGATCATAATATAATATAATATAGTAATTAGCCTAATATTGCCCATACCTTCTTGTGCTATGACGTTTGTGGACAAGTGAACAAGTTTTTTTTTTTTTTTTTTGCAGTGTCACAACAGCATCACTACAAACTCATATGTATGAACTTTCCTAAAATACATGGTTTTAGTGCATAGTGTATCAATTTAATAGAAATAACTGAAAAATCAGCTGAAATTCATCTTTTAATATTGTTATGCTCTGAAAAGAAGAACATGCTAAACAAAGAAAACTGCAGTTAGAGAATATAAAGGCCATAGATTATTGAGGACTTTCAGTGAGCCGTGATTGGTCGAACAGAAATTGAATGGACAGGTTCCCATTCTGTCCCCTGTAGCAGGTGCTGGAGAACATTGATATGCAGAGGAGAGAGTCTACTATAATAAAGCAAAGCTAAATTTTTTCACGTTTCTGTAGCCATTCTTAATGGAATCTCATCACTCACTGAGAGTAAACAGTGTCTGTGCAGGGATACACACTATAGCAAACATCATGGGACCATATGCCACAGCATTCAGATGGTCTCATAGCATCAGCATCAGTGTGTGTCTAACGAGATAAAGCTTTATCACAAAATCACCTGTGCGGAGAACAGAATTTATCCAAATAGAAAGCTTGCTTGTTTATGAAATGCACAAGTCCATTTAAAGGAACAGTTTACCTAAAAAAAAGGAAATCCAAATCTGAATGCCGTGTCTGTGGCACACAAGAGAAAAACTGATGAATCTTAGCTCAAGTTATTTTCTTACCACGACTCAAGCTCCAAAAAAAAACACTATGCAAGTCAAAGGGGACTATCCCTTTAAGTAATATTGTCGTATGAACTACGTTTTTGGTTCTTTCAGTGTATTTCGGGGCTTAATCGCTATAAACTATTAAACAGTGTTAAAATGTGTTTAATTATCCCTCTATAGGTTCTACTGATGTGGTGGCCTGCTCCGTGCATGGAATAAGACGCGCTATGACTGCAGCCTTGCACATCATCATGGGTATGTTTTTTAATTTTGAGTTTCTTTCTCTCCTTCATGCATGAGCTTCTAGTCATTCTCTAGCCTGTACGCTAACAGTAAGGCCTCGAGGAACCATGGGACTTAATGGAGCACAAGTATACATGATAATAATATGTAAATGGGATTCGTATTTACTTTTCAATTCCACTGAGTTATGTGTGTAGGGGCAACGGTTTCATTTTCACCCATTGGAAGTCTCTCTCTCTCCCTCTTTTTGGTGTATCATAATGGTGGCGCATGCGGTGGCTCTCTGTAATCTGTTGTTTAATTAGAGTGCACAGACTATTGTTATGGGGGCCGAGAGAAGACAAACCCCCCGCATGGGCTCTGCCTCTCCAGCTTTGGAGATCATGGTTAACAGGTCCCATGGAACGAGAGACGGTCCCGGGAGAGGTGGAGATACGTCTGTCGTCAATCACCCGTTCGGTCCCGCCACAAACACTGAGTTTCTTTGACGTTGCTGTGGGCCGTCGTTGGAAGTGTTACTTCTGGCTGGCAGTGTTCTCTTTGGCTTTAGTGCTGTGTGTCCCTGTCTGTCTGTCTTTCTGTGAGGCGTTTTTAAAGTTAGCACCAATATGTCTGGGCCATTGTGTCGACTGTGCAAGCTCTCCTGGGCTTAGCTTAACAGACAAGCGGATTTGTCTTGTGTCAGGGGATTACATGCACAAGCTAAGCTCGCATCCTCCAAAAAAAGAAAAAGAACACGTACTGGCAAAAATTTTGCTTTACAGCTGAATTACGACTGGGATGAACACAATCAGAACCGCACAATAGAATTACAGAATCAGTTGTGTGCACAAGTTAATGAGTTTTTTTTTGTTGTCACTGTTTCGTTGTTCTTTGTGGATTATTGAGAAATGATTATCTGGTGATATTTTGTTTTCCAATCACAGGCTTCATATGAAGTTCCTTGTTGCGTTAAAGGAATAGTTCACCCAAAAATGAAAATCCTGTCATTATTTACTTACAGTACCCTCATGTTATTCCAGAACACTTCTTTAGAAGACAAAAGGAGCATTTTAGAGAACCTTCATATAGTTATTTTCCATACAATGACAATCAGACTTCAAAATGTACCTTCAAAACAGCATAAAAAGCAACATAAAGGTAGTCCAAATGACTCATGCACTATATTCTAAGTCTTCTAAAGCTTTGGGAGAAGAACAGGCTGAAATTTAAAGGGATGGTTCACCCAAAAATGAAAACCCTATCAATTACTCACTCTCATGTCATTACAGAATGCTGTATGCAGTTATTTTCTTCTGTAGAAGACAAAAGAAGAATTTTTAGTGAATTTTCACAGGTCTTTTCCATACAATGACAATCAGGGTTCAATATGTACAAAAACTATGTAAAAAGCCCCATAAAAGTGGTCCAAATGACACATGCACTATATATTCTGAGTCATTTGAAGTCATACTCTAGCTTTGTGTGAAGACAGATTGAAATTTAAAGGGATAGTTCACCCAAAAATGAAAATTCTGTTATTATTTACTCCAGAATGATATATGCATATTTACATCTGTAGAAGACAAAAGGAGATTTTTAGGGAATCTTCACATAGTTCTTTTTAATACAATGACAATTAATATGACTCATGAACTATATTCTAAGACTTATAAGATATCTAAAATCATATGATTGCTTTGTGTAAAGATAGCTTTTTGTAACTGTATGTTAGTATTTACCTCTGTACAAGACAAAATGAGAATTAAGGAATTTTCACTTTTTTTTTTTCATACAACAACAATTAGACTTCAAAAATGCACAAAAATACCATAAAAGTATTCCATATGACTCATGCACTATATTCTGAAGTCATATGATAGATGTGAAAAAAAATCTATCAAAAAAAAAAATTTAAAGGGACAGTTAACTCAAAAAAGCTAATATTCTGCCGTAATTCACCCTCATTTTGCTCCAAATATTTGACTATTTATTCTGTGGAACACAAATATATTAAAGAATGTCTGTGTATATTAAAACATTTCTGTGTTTATAGAGTTCTATGTTGTTTGGTCCCCATCGGCTTTCATTGTATGAACAAAAACATGTTTTTTGTGTGTTTCACGCAGGTTTGTAACAAAATGTTTGGGTGAACCCTTTAAAGGCGCAAAACTGGATTGTGTGACAAAATTAGATGACAAACCCTGAGAACTGGTGCTACCTAAAACTCTGCGGCCCATTTTTGTCCTCGCTTGGCTACAGACTCGGATGATTAACCGCAATCTGACCTCCACGTGTGCGAGAATGCGTCTCATCATTAAGTCCTAAGAATTGAGCCATATGGTATTGTAACTCATAGGCTAGCTTTTGACTAAAGGGAGGTGTGAGTTTTAAGAACGAGTGCTGAATTTCTTTTGTTCGCTGAGATTGGCACCTTCTCTGTGCACCGCGGTACGCTCGCCATCTCAGCAGGAACATCCTCGTACCGTTGTGATTAATTGCTCCATCAAAACATTGTGGCTCTCGGTACGAACCGCTGAGTTAAGTGTAGGCACTCGCTCAACAAAAGACAGCTTTTCCTAAGAAGACATTCCGACATGCAGGCATTAGGTGTCTTATGTGAAGCGAACTGAATGAAAACCACGTTTTCCCCTTTCTGTACTACACAAAATGTCTGGCTTTTGTCGCTGCGAGGTAAAAGAGAAACATCAACGGCACATAAGATACCTGACACGAATGAGAGCGTAATGCCCATTTAGGAGGGCCAATATAGGGCTTGTTCATTTCCAATTAAGCAATATTTACGCATGTGAATAAGGCCAACTGGCGGGATTTGGAAGGATCCGATGAATAATTCATGAGCGGGGAGAGCTTATGCATGGGGAGACAGAAGGAGGTCAGGAATGTGCCGGGCTACGGGGACTGGACTCAACCAATGGACCACCAGATCCACTCATTCCTGTTCACTTCGACATATGCAGTGAATTAACTCAAGAGATGTCACATTGACACTTGATAGATGACTCTATTGTTTCTAATGGACTAGAATTAAATTAGCTGATTATAGGATGCACGTTTACATCTACTTAAATATGTACATATACATACATGTGCATAA